ATTTTCGAAGGGAGAAAAATCCACAGAGGTCCTGTCGAACTTTCACCCTGCTCAAGAACTGTGGCTCAGCCCCTGGCAATTCCCTTCCTAATTACTTCTCATACTCTGTTTGCCAGGGAGCGACTCGAACAGTGGATAAACATTACCCGTAGTGTAGCTGGGGCGCTTCCTGGCTGTTCATAAGGAAAATCCAATTTGACTGTCGACCCTTCGAGGGCCTAGAAGGTGCAACGTAGAAACGTCCCAGAGATTGTGCTCGTGGCGCTGGTGGGACGATCAGCCTTCGTGTGTAGGCAATAAGGCCGGCACACGCTTTTAGATTTCCTGCGCCCTTTCAGTTACTTGAAGCCTGCCCAGTGATTTGACCATGGGCACGTCTATACTTTCTTCGCGGCCACTTAAGTCAGTTGCTACATCAAAACCGCAGGTTATGGTCTCCCGCACGGAACGAGAAACAAGATACACCTGTCAAATGAAGTATAACAATCTGGACGTTTCTTAGGCCGACATCTCCAATTGTGAATTTATGTTATTCATATGTTTAAGGCGTTTGCTATTATGACCAACAATATCGTTAATCACCTATTGGTGACAGTTTTTAAAATTTACTCTCCTGGGCGTATTTTCTCCAAGTGAAGTGATGTGCCTAAATCAGTGGGAGTCAGGCGAGTGAAATTCCGTAAACTTGTGACGTCTTCCGATCCTAATTTTGTTAGAAAGGTACTCCGACATCAAGATGTTTCGGCAAACGCTTCGCGCATACACCAACGTTCAAGTTTTCGCCATTTTACATTGACAATTAGCAGCCAGCGCGCACTCATTCCGCACGAAACAACGAGGGCGAGAACATCACACCTGGGAAGGTAAAAACCAACGAGAACGCGCGACCCAGGGGACAGACAGTGTCTACGACGGTCTATAGTCTAGACAGAAATCGTGCAATAGCCTACACGTGTGTACTCGAGTTAAGATACAAAACAATATTTTCTAAGCGATTCCGAGAGTCAACTGCTAGGGTAAATATTTTCGTAAGTATCGCATGATTTTTATCGGAGGAGGTAGCAGTGATCTTCGCCAGCTGGATGGCGAGATCCAGCCGCCGACCTACACATCGGCTCGGATGGATTTTCCCCAAACAGGCATCTCCCACTAGAGGGACACCACCCGAGCTGGGACAAGCTGTAAGCTCCCGACCGGCCTCCCGATACGTGCGATGGTGTAGTGCATTGCAAGTTTGTAAAGGGGTGAGGATGGCAAGGAAGAGGAAGGTAAGTGACCCGTTTATTAGGACGCTGCTCGGGCATCCGCCTGGTTTGGATAAAAGAAATCGCGCCAAACTACCGATGACAGCAGTCTGTCGCTAGAATTCCCCTCCCGACAGCGGCTGAATGCGACCAGCCACGACGCCCTGAGCCGGATTTCGTGCTGCAAAGCTTGCGCTTGGCGCAACCCGCGCTGTCGCCGTCGCGTCGCGTCGCGTCGCGCAGAGGGCGTCGCCCGGGGCGGCCCGCTCCGCCCGCGCCCCCGTGTCCACGCGCGCACTCAATTCCCTCAAATCGCCGATTTCCTGCTCGCGGCGGCGGCGGTCGCCCGCGCGCTCTCCGAAAGCCGCTCCGCTCTGCGCCGCCGCATATGTCACGTTACGTAAGGAGCCGCGGGCGGCGCAAATATACTCGCGGCATGCGACACCTCCACCTCCGCCGGCGCCTGCGCCTCCCGCGCGCCAGCAGGGCGTCCACGCGAGCGCTGCGTTCGGCGCATCGCACCAGCCACGCTCTTACAAGCTCTACATTCATTTCACTTTTGTGCTACCTCGTATTTAAAAAAAACAACTTACAATATAACGCGCGTGGACTGCAACAGAGGCGCAACTTAAAAAAATATAAATTTCGAGTTAACGCTCCGTCTGCAGAATTGCACGTTGGTCCATCTTCCAGCAGCAACAGCTGTGCATCTTCAGGGGTGCCCACAAGGGAAGGGAGAGGCAACTGGGACAATGTGCGCCAGATCCCGACTTAGAGCCCCGATTTAGTTTTTTCGTTCAAGAGAAACGAAAAATGTGGCAATCTCTAATAGAAATTTGACGCTCTATGTTTTTCTGATCCATAGAGAAAAGAATTCAGTTTATGAATTGTGAGAAGAGGAAATAAGGGGGCCCCCTTGCATTTAACTGCCCCAGTAACCTGGTTTTCTCTGGGCGCACCTGCATATCTTTCATGCAGAATTCCATCATCAAATGGCACAAGTATGAATGCAAGAACGATACATTTCAATACAAGGTGAAAACTGCAAACTTTTACCTCAACCACTGATTTTTTGACTTCTACAACTATTGCAGCCCACGAACGAGATTTTCTACATTAAAAGTCACGCTTCGAAGTGCGTATTATGTCACATACTGAGCCACCGATTCCGAGAAAGCCAACCGCTGCGAACTATCTGCAGATAAAGAGCGCACCAACTTATCAAAACATATCAATACAAAGGATTCTAAGAAATTACAATACACACTTAAAAATGCCAGCAGAAATGTCTATCAGGACCGACGATCCAATACTCCCCCCCACCCGAAACGTTGACGCGGGCTGAAGACGCGGCCGTCTTGTCCCCGAACCGGCAGGCCACTCGCCGGCCGCGAGTCGGGAACTGCGGATCCGGCCCGTCCAGGCGCGTGGACGCTCGCGTGCCGCCTCCACCTGCCCGGAGGCGCGCGACCATGACCTCCTCCGCCTCCGCCGCCGCCGCCGGCGCAGAAAGCCACTCGCGCGGCTGCCAGTGTGGATGCCGCTTCCATGCCCAGGTGTTCCACAATTTTAAACATCGCTTGTTGAAGCGCATAGTTTTTGAACATCGATGCTTTGTGCTCCACGTTTTACTCGTGAATGAAAAAATCCCCATAACCTCAATTTCGTGTGAGTTAGAATAAGGAATAAGAACAGATGGTACTGTGTCTTCGAACTAAACGAACGCGGTTTCTACTACTTTCATCTGGCAGACTATCCTCGCTCGAGATGTTCCCGATGTCCTGGTATTTCTTTCGTCTTTTTCCGGGTTTCGTGCACGTAAAGGTGTTTTATAACTCGGAAGGTGTTTTCAGTTAAATTTTAATTAAAAATTGAACAATACATGGCCACAATCAAAATAAATTGGGTTGCACACGAATTTAATGTTAGAGTTTTTGAAATCGGCTTTAAAACATGTTTAGAAACCAACCTTTTTAAAGATGAATAATTATTGTTGCTATTATTATTACTACACGCCTACGTCTTCTCAAGCCCTGAACGTCCCATCCCCACTCCTTTACTAATATGGTTTGGACTCAGAATAAATTATAAGGAGCGTTGTTGACAAAATCCAGATATCCAGAAGTGCTCATGCCCGAGCAATTTCAATGCAAGCATTGAAAATCGAGCTAGAGATTTGATATAATAGTTCTGTCGACAGAGTACTGAAACCCCCCACTCCTGTCGCTTCTCGTGAAGAGGGCAGAAGCAAACGTGCGCGGAAATGGCATGAATAGTTCAAATTCACGACCACACCGTTAATTATAGGAATGTTTCATGGCTTTTATTTATTTATTTTGTCATTCAATGAAAAAACTCTTAGTTCGACAACGTTTCGGAACTTTTATTGTTCTCTCATCAGGGCTGTGGGACACTTGTTACTTCATTCAAGTTGAATATATTACATAAAACGTGTTATTGTCGAGTTAATTACTTTTTATGTAATATGTCAAAGTTGGATGAAGTAATAGTGTAAATACGTGTCCCCAGCCCTGATAATGGAACAATAAATTTCCGAAATGTTGGCGAACTGAGAATTTTTTTCACTGAATGACTAAAAAAAACATGAAACCTATCTAGAAAGGCATGGATGTGAGCGTGGAAGTTTGTCTGGCCGCCGCGGCAGATAAGCGACGGCGCACTTGAGTGGCGGCGCGTTGCGTAAGGGGCCAGAGTACCTGGACCCTGGCCGCGCCGCGCCGCGTCCTTCGCGAAGGCGGCGTCCACGCGAGGGGCCGGGGGCAGCCAGCGGCGGACGCGTGATCGCGCGAGCAACGTCCACGCCCCCTCCTCGCTCCCCCTGACCCGCATCGGAGGTCCCCGCGGTCGGGGGGAAAGGCCAGGGGAGAGACAGACGCCTTACCGAACGATGCCCGAACCCGGAGCGAAGCGCGACGCCGGCGGCGGCTGCTGATGCTGCTGTCTCCCTGGACCGTCGCAACGCCGACTGCGGTGGGTCGGCGCGCGCGCGCCCGCGGCCCGGCCCGCCCCCAAGCCCCCCACCCCGCGCTCGGGGGATCTCTCGGCCACGGTCAAGACACGGACTCACGCATCGATCAACGGCGGCACGCCGCCGACAGGCCAGTGAATCACCACCCTCGCCCCCACATGGTGGAGAACGCGTGATCCACGAGTCCCGGACACGGACGCGGACGCGGACACGTCAGTGGAACACGGCGGCAGCGGGGGGAAAACTAGCGATCGGGAACCCCGGCCACGCAAATTGGGCCGGCTTGCCCGCTCCCGAAACTAAACGGACAACGACACGTGAAGGGCAATTCAATTTGTCCCTTTCCCTTCCTACCTATTCAGTCGCCTGTAGAAATTCATTGGAGTCGCAAACATGTTCGAAATAGAAACGAAACAAAAAGAACATCTGTCCTATTTTCAGCACAGTGTTTGGTAAGCCAAACCAGCATCTGTCCGGGCCCAAGAATCAAACCGCCAACTGGTTTGAAAATACGTTTCGCTGTTTAGAACACTGCAAATACGATCCTAGGGTGTTAAATCTCTAAATTACGGAGCAAATACGGGCTGCTCATAACCTAAGACGTGCGAATAGTATTTGAAATTAGGCAACTCAAAATCATCTTTGCAAACTACTACGTGTGTTGATCTTTACAAGCTATCGTATATTATTGTTTGGGAGTTAATTCGAAATAATGGAATGTATGTTACTGACAACCTACATGATTGTTTTAAAAATCTGCAACATACCTACAATCAACCGCCGCAGTTTCCATTATTTCGTGCACTGTGATTTTTTAATGTCAATATACTAAACTGCGGCAATAGAATACACTGCGGCGACAATGTCCCAGATGGAGTTCATTGTACCATGTATAGGTTAAGGCGCCACAAGGGCGACACAAAACAACACGAATAAGCAAGATTTGCCGCTGGATTTGTGCATTGTCATTTGTTTTATAAAACTGCAGCACTGCAAATCAACCACAACACCACGTTTGCAAGTAAACACAATTATACGATACGGTGATACTATATAGAAAACACACGCCACATTACTTGATATTCACAAACATTTCATGTAAAATGTATTATATCTTATAAAAGAATGCATACTTACACAAAAATATGATGATAACGTTAAATAACACTCACGAATGTTATGTCAAAATGTGCGAACACTGAACTTCGTGAAAACACCACGACAGAATAGCCGTATTTTTGGTCGTACACCGTCGTCCAATCAGAATCACACTTTCAAAGGGAGGGTAGTGGCGTGATTACTGACGTAGCACGAATAAACCTCGCAGACTGGATCCCGCGAGCGGATCAATGAAACTGCGTTGGTAGTGCGCAGCTGCGAAACTTACTTGGTACTGTCGGCTTGTTGCATGTTAATTTTTATCTCGAAACCCAATCAAAAATGCTTACTTGCTGTGCGGTAAATTATTCGATTATAAAATGTACAAAACATGCAAAAATTAATACAAAATGTATGAATACAGAAATAATGCGCAAAGCAGCGCTCATATGTTTTAATTTTTGTTTGAACGCCTTTCCGCTAGAGGGGAATATACACTGTTTTTCATAAATGCCAACTTACATGAAATACATTCTCAGCAAAGGCCCAGTGAGAAAGTCTTTATCCACTTCCTGCACATGTTGGAAAGCCTGTTGTGACGGCGCGTTGCTCGCGTGTGTATATTTTTGTGTTGTTAACAAACTTAAGAACTTTATAAGATGTTGCCGTTGTGAGAAATAGCCGAGAGAAATCATTTGGTCAAGAGATTCTCGAAATTACGATTCTTTTAATTAATAAATCAAGTACTTCACATCATGGTGGTTGTAACAAGTTTTCCACCTCCAACTGAAGGCATTAAACACCAACAACCTAATACTTCTGCTTGTATAAATCAAAAAGAAATTGGCAAAGGAACTCTGTATATCACAGAAAGGTTAGTAATTTCATACAGAGAGTGTTGCTCGGGAAAAATGAGCTCATGGAAAGCTAACCTCGTTCTTTATTTGGCTTTGTAGTCGCCTATCCTGGGTAAATGGTGCTACAGGACAAGGATTTTCGTTAGAGTACCCACATATTGCGTTACATGCAGTCTCGCGAGATCTGACAGCTCATCCTCATGAGTGCCTTTATTTAATGATTGACACAAATATTGAAGAGCCAGGTAAACACATTTCCTGAATTATACAGTGCAAAACTTACTATGCAATGTATATTAAAAACATGCATTTTATTGTAGAACCGTGCAACCAAGAAGAAGACAATGAGGAAGAAGGATCAGATTTAGGTCTCACGGAAATAAGGTTTGTTCCTGATGATAAAGGGATGCTTGATGCCATGTTTCACGCTATGAGTGCTTGTCAAGCCTTGCATCCTGATCCACAAGAAAGCTTGTCAGAAGAAGGTGCAGTTTTTAATTAATTTTTTTGATTCGAATGTATCAATTGGTATGTACTTATATTTTCTTGACTGTTTTAGAGGATGAAACCTTTGAAGACGCTGAGGATGATGATGGGGAGTATCATCTTTCTGGTGCAGGAGATACACCAATAATTTTAAATGGTAATTAGTTATATGTATTTAAATTCACTAAAATAGAGAATTATTTTTAAGTTTTTGAATTTGCGCATGTTAGTTTGTTATTGTTTTCATTTGAAAATTCATTTGTTCATATTTTTGTTTGAATTTGTAAAAACTTATCATACATGATCAGCATTCAGTTAAGCTTCACTAGTAGTAAACAACAACATAATAACTCTTGAAAACTTAGTATTGCTGTTCATTATGAGTTGTATGATCTGAGTAAACTCGCCTTGCCAAATGAATGTAATGTGTTAAAATGACTCCCTTTGGGCATTCAGTGATGTTTTAGATGGAAAAATAGAACTGCCTTGATCTAATCGCTCCTTGTTTTTATTCTTAGATGAACATGTAACGAAGGTAAAATTTTCAGGGTTTTGTTTATCTGTAATTGGTATTATGTAATTGTTAACTGTTATTATGTTTATGATCCTTTTTTTTTATAAAGATTGAAGAAACTGAAAATTTATGCAAAAACATTACTATTTGATTAGTTAATACTTCCAACTACCCCTCCTTTTTATGTCGTGTTGAGGCACAGAAATAATAATGTTTTATGTCATTTGAGAATGAATAGGTATGTTTTGTTTCTTGACCTAGTTCAGTATTTCTGGAAGTTGAATGAGGAATCATGTTTTTCTATTTAGTGTAGCCTTCCAATTAGGGTTCAGGTCAGGACTTTAGCATGGCCGTGCAAATGTCATAATTGATATATGATACTAATTTTGAACCTCTGGGTAATTACATTACAATAAAAACATGGAATGAAAGGTGCATTACATTCTATTATTTTCCATATAAAATTAGATTTTATCAATCCACTAATATCTCTTCATACTACATCATGGAGCTGAATAATGTTGAAAAATGCACTGAGCATCTTGATTAAAATTTTCGTCTGTAGTTGGCAAAAATTTTACTTTGGAAATGTGCATAAGAACTTCAATATTCACAACATGAAAAATAATTCCATTTCTGATTCCGATAAGAAATGCTGTCCCAAACCCTCTAGCTTCGATATTGTTTATTTTGTCATCCAATCGGGGGAGAAATTCATCATTTCATTTCACATGAGCCTTGGATGTTGAATTTATATTTATTAAAGATGGCCACATTTTTAATAATAATAATTGTTTTATTTTCTTAGAAATGAATTTATATTGAGATAGTAGACAGTAAGTTTTTCAATGGAAAGTTGTCTTTTGACTCTTGAGGCACATGCCATCTATTTTTGTTACTGTGGAGAAGGGGTGACAAATTTTTGTGTTGAAATGTTGTCTTGACAAAACACACAGTTGAACACTCTTCCATTTTCTCTGTCAGCTACTAGATTTTCAGAGTTTAAACTGAAAATTAGGCTAGAATGAGAATAATGAAGTTGACTAGTTATCTGATAAATTAGGTGTCCCTCATCATGCATAGAAACACACTATTAATCATGAAGTCTTAACTGCTTGCTCTTCTTCTGTTCTTGCCCACAGCTTTGCAAAGTTTAGTCTGTGTACCCTGAGAAGGGTAGAAGTGCTATCATTGTCACCTATTATTTCATCTCTGTAAGTAAGAATGACTTGCTCAATAATCAATAACTAAAGCAAGTTTTTCACAGACCAAACCATGAATATGAAAGCAGTGCATTTTTTTACTGTTTTAATCCAGGATTTTATGAATGTAGTTTTCAGTTACTGAAATCATGTAAAGCAGTCATTCATGGTTCCATTGGTTGACCATTAGTGCAGGAGGATGCTTAACCCGGGAGTGCCTGCAAGTGATCTGTGAGATTCAAGCCACAGAAATTTTATGTTTCTGAATATTGAGGCATTAGCAGTCTGATATTTTGTGTCCTCCTTCATTATACTTTTCTGAGAGCTTTTCTGCCAGTGCTTTGTGAACTCCTTGCCTGAGCGATACGTATCATTGCATTATTTTAGCTGTGTCTATGACAAGTGCCTGTTCAGAAAATGAAATCATTTGCCTTATTTACAATGGTGTTACAATTTCTCACCAAAGAGAAAAAAAATATGTGCAGGAGATGTTTGTAGGGCTATGAAAAAATGCATACCTTGCAAAATGGGACAAAGACAAACTGAATATAATACATATTTCAGTAGATGAATCTTCAGATCATTCACATTCAGAAAAAATTGCATCTATATCTGAGAAATACATTGCGGGCACTGGCATGAGTCTACCTATTGCAAGCACTCCCAGGTTAATGAAGGCTATGAAATGCAGATATGAGTTTTAATTTCCCAATTTGTATGAAGTATTATTGAACACCTTTTCTTTAGATTTACTATTCTTTTCACTCAATCTAAAAAAATAATGATATTATTATCAAGTTTTTTTGCTTTCTAATATTAGTTTCCACTTTTTTGCTCCTTGCCTTCACAGAGCAACTCGCTTTCTCTACTCACCAAATGGAACCACATTTTTCCAAGTAAACCAGAATTGAAGCTGCAATTCACATTGTGAAACATTTATAGAGCCTGCATGAATCTCACCTATTGTTATCTAAATCTTCACTTGATAGCTCTGTTCTAGTTAATCCAATGTGTCCCAACTGAAGGAGGCAATGGATGAGTGGTAACTCTTTCTGCAGCGCAACTTATTGTGTCTGTTAAATGAAGGTTAATTTCAATGCACAGGAAGAGGGAATATTTATGTGCTCTATAAAGAAATAAATTGATTCATTGGTCAAATGACTGATGTGGATATTTCCCTGAATTTGTATAATAAGTACCTCTTCTTGTTACTATTATCCAGTTTCTTTCTGATTTGTAATGAAGTTTAACATATTTTCTTAAAGGTTGTGAATATTATGGTACAAAGAAGAAAAAAAATTCAATCATAGTGCAATGGTTGTGGCACCCATTAAAAATTGTTAGGACTTGCTTCTTAAATTATTAAGAATTTCCCTCTTGCTCATTGTCATTTTTAAACTGGCAATTGTATTAGTGATTTTGCTTTTTAATATTTATTAGAACATAGATTGCCCCCATAGGATTCTTAGGAATTTGTCAAAAGTACAACAGTAATGAGAAAAAATTTTTTTCATTGTATGCTATGTGCATTTTTTTAATCATTATGAATCTCAAAAAAAGTTTACAATGCACAGACAAGTTTTGCTTAGGAAGAACAACTTATTAAGAAGGTAATAATTCCTTGCAGAAGAAGAATTTAGAAATTAAAATTTAATTTGGAATATTGTGTTAATTTTGTCAACACTTTATAGCATTTCAGTCTTCAAATATTTTTACCTCTTGCATTGAAACCAATGTCCTACAAAGAAAATTAGCCTTTTAGGGGCCTGTTCGTGTAATTATGCAAAAAATGTTTCCCCCTTCATGATTGCTCAGATTTAGACACAAGTATATTTTTTAACTTAATTATTACCTCAAGACCTGATATTAAATTACCTAATGCTGCTAAATAAGGTACCAAACGTAACATGCCGCTAATGTATTCTACTTTGTATGTGTTCAGTTGAAAGACCTGCATCTAATGGAGTGAATGCCCCTGATGGCAACTGGGAGCCAATGGAGACTGAAGAGGGTCAGTTTGAAGATGCAGAGATTGAACCTGAAAACTAAAAGAACTTGGATTTAGAAGTACAAAGTATTACTTTTGAAAACCCAGATGGTTTATATATTTAAGTTGAAAAGTGATGTTTTTTGATACTGTGAATGTTATTGTAATTAACAAAAAATTAAAAAAAAATGTATTAAAAAAAGAAATGAAGAAAGTTCATGTTCTTTTCTGAAGTAGGAATGTGACTTAAGAAGGGTTTGCAAAGTCAAGAAAGTACGAACACTTGATATTAAGCTTTAATATAAAATTCTTAACTGCAATTGTTCCATAAAATTATCACAGAATCAGAATTGTAAAGCTCTTGTAACATTGCAACAAAAATAAAAAGAACAGTGCATAAAATATTACATAACTTGCTTAGTCAACTGTAAAATAAAAATAACATTTTCTTAATATCTTATCAGCAATTGTTAGTGATATTGAAGACATGCCACATTTAGCCAGAGTGTACAACCGTGAAATTTTAATGGACCAAAGAGGGTTTTTATAGTCAATTATATTTTTTAATCTACTGAATGCATGATCTTTTATACTGATTTTATCCTAAGTGCTAGAAAATAACATTAAACCACACAATTGTAAGAATTTCCTGAGATATTTGCATTCTTAATGTATTGCTTACATTATTTTCTGGAGAAAAATAAAAACATTTTGTGGTAAAAAAATTCATTCATCAATCCTCATGAAACAATTTCTGACTAGACATTCTCTGAAATACAAAGAAAAAACAAACTCAACCCTCAATAGAGTATAAACATGGCAATATTATATAAATAAGCACTCCTATAGTTTTCATTGTTGAGAAAAAAATTAACCAAATTTTTATAATACATTATAGGACCCTGCAATGCTTCACTGTTGTAAACATATAACACTTCGCGTGATACTGGTCACATTGCTAATCATATTCTACACCATGTAGATGATAATGAAAGACTTTCTCGTGAGCATGAGTTTTGTTCAATGTCCTAGTTTGGACATAATTGTCAAGTATTCTGTTAAAATGCTCTTCCTTAAGTTTGGGCATGCATTCATTATAACACCGCCTAGGAGAAATGTGACTTGCCTGAGATAACATTCAAGCTGATATTTCACAATAGCTGGAGCAGAATATGCAGTAAAAACACGTTTAATACTTGAGGGTGCAGCAGGTTGCATAAGCTTCAGTTCAGGGGCACTTTAGTCAGCATAAAATCACAATGCCCCTATTTTGGGTCTATGTGTGATACACATATGCACACTCAAATGTACTAAGCCTATATTCTTCGTGCAAGCAAAAGGGTGATAAAGTTTTATCACAATTGAATGAAATATAAACAAACAATGATTTTTATATATTAGATGTTATTCATATCTTAATATAGACTTCACTTCTTTGAGTCAAGGTCAAATCTGTTACTTTCTTTTTTAAATCGTTAGGTGTTACAAGGATCAAGAATACCCTTTTGAATTCCTTATCAGTTGTAATTTTCATTATAATGGTTAGATTGCAGAAGTAAACAAATGACGCTCTGAAGAAAAAAAGAAATAATAATAATAATAAAGACATAACTATTGCCATGCCTTAACCTCCACCAAAAGGTATAATTTCCTGACATTCAACAACATGCAAAGTATCTGCATTGAGACAAAGCAGTAAATACAATGTTCTGTTGCTATAATACCCACAATTAAAATTTATATTAAACTCACACTAATAATGCATTATTATTGCTTCTTAAGAGTATGTGGCCTTATACTTTTTACCCATACACTAACATGTTTTTTTTTGTTATGAAATAATTTGAATTTCGTGCTTTAAAATATTATTAAGATAATGAATTCTTCGAACTAAACTAATCCTTAAATTCTGGTAAGACTAGATTTTTGGCAATACCATCTTTCACTGCTTTTGTAGTAGACATAGAAATTGAAAACATATTCCATTACATTACAGTATTAAGGAACAACATTAGTACTGCCTTTGAATATTTGTTCAGTAGTTACAGAGAGACTACAGCTTCAAAGATCTCTCTACCGAAAATCTCTCAAGAACTCCTTTATTTTATGCGAAAACAGATGTAGATAATGTGATGCTATGACGAAAACAACTCAATTTGGCATTTGTTTGGATTTCATTGTAGCTTATTACAAAGACACCATTAAACAAAATGGTGGACTCATATTGGATATCTTAATTTGCAAATCGATTTAGGATTTCTGCTCTTTTATTTAAAAATTTCTTATGTGGATTTGTTCACTTGAATTACTGATTGCTGATTTCTTACGGTCTTAATCTAATGCAAAGGTCTGAGGAGAAGTACTTTATAAACAAATGACATCATCTTTACTGTGCTTTTATTATTAATGTTTTTCAATGGCTTAGCCATAGAAAAATATAGGAAGTCAAGAAGTGACTAGTTGCTCTCGTGAATAATAACAGTAAGTAAAATTTTAAGAAATGCGAGTAAGCCTGTAGAGTAAAAGACTCAGTACTGACATGACCCTTTGCACAGCAACCTCAAACAATGTACACAACAAAAGGACAAAATGAAAAAGTAATATTGTATGATTTTGAAAATAAAAATTATAATATAAAATCCATTTTCACCAGGTAAATGTAATTTGAAAATATGGGGGATCATAAGTGTGAATGTGTATTCAGGTTAGAAGAAATTCAAAGCACTACAAATCAGACCCTCTTTATGGGGAAATTTAGGGGGCCAGATTAAAGGTCTAAACTGTGGAATATTATATTAGAAATGAAATGAAATATTATGAAGAGAAAACGCAAATGCAATGCAGCAAACACTGAAGAGAAGTCACTGAACTACAAGATATCTGCTACCACTACAGAATTTATCACTGAAATGATGTTGCTGACGGCAGATTATTCAGGGTAGTAGAATAAAAAGGGCTAAGTCAAGAAACAATGTTTTATATCAACACAACAAACCATCAAAAAAATTTCTTTTATGGAGTCTGAAATTTTTTTTTTTAACATAATCAATATCATAAGGAATGAAATGGTTTTGGTTTTTTTAACATTCACATTTTGTACAACTTGTTATGACTGGGCTCACAATTTTAAAAGTGAATTTTTGTGCAAACAACAGACATGCAAGTTTACAGGTATTTTTTCAAGAAACTAATGGACATGCTCTTTTATTTAAATAGATGGTTCTGGCAGAAAGAAGCAATTTAAACTCTTCAAAATTATATTCCAGAATTCCTGTAGAAACTGATCTCCATAAACACTGTTAACTAAGGTAAGGGTAACCATGTCTTTGCTGGAACAAATTTCTCTGCCTTTTTCCTGATAAGATTTGTAATCTTTTACACAACTTCAAGAAGATATAATTAAAAAGGCAAGGTTTAGGTTCCTTTTAATTATTTCTCAGCCTCTTGGCTTCAATGTGAACCAAAAAACACATTTGCTTAATAAATAACACAAATACTGTATTTAAATAATACCTAGTTTTACAATTGTCTAAAAAATGTGCAATTTTTGAAGATTGTTTTACACAGTTCCTTGTTTTGCCAAATCAATAGATTCCCTTGATTTTCTCCATTTTACTAGGCTTTCAAGAAAGTGGTAACCATGAAGTAAATAAATTAAATGGATATTGAGTTTTCACTAGCACATAGTTCCTATATTTATTTATTTGTTAAAAAAGGTTTTATTTATAAAAATATTTAAAAAAACATCTGGATTCATTTCTAAGTTGAAATGTTTTGCTATAAAAAATGATATATTTTTTAACTAAAACTAATGTGTTTTGAAACAATTTGATGCCTTGTTTAAATTACAAAATACATCTTTAATGAAGTAGATAAGTCAGGGAAATAACAATTATCACATCAAAAAATTATTCTCATTTCCTTGACACAGTAAACAATGAAACCTACATGTGAAAATGATCTATACAATGTAAACTTTCTACAGATTATGGTGGTCAGTGCTTGTTAGTCATTGTAAAAATAAAGGAAAATTAACTGAGTTTTCATAATTCCATTTTAAACATTATAATAAATTCTCCAATCCAAAAAGTAATTGTGGAAGATGGTAATTGTATTTACCTTAAGTTATTAACCTCAAATTCATACAGAAACTGGTTGGTTGGATTGCTCCTTCCATCAGTCACATATGTAGAAAAGTAAGTGACTATTACACTTAATATATTCAAGACATTGTTTCAGAAAAGCAAGTGCCACATCAGTTGCATCTTGTAAATATTATTTGAAGCAAATACCATTAAAATGATAAAATCAATTAAATGAGGTGAAAAATGCAGTCAAATTTATGAAAAAAGGTAATAAAATGATTTATTTGCTGAAATCAATGAAAAATGCAAAAAAGTAAACAAAAGTAATTTCATTCAAACCTGTCCCCTAATTATCACCTTTATAAACTGCAGAAAGTAAGGCTTAAAGCCTGTTTATGATAGATCTGGAGATATATTTAACTTAAGTATTCCTTTTTATCATTAGTATACCAAATTGTTAGGTGAAATGTTTTATTTATAAGAAGCCAAGAATGTATTCCTCACAGATCTTGGCCACAACCAAAATCCAAAAGTTTGGCAAAATATTTTCTTGTTATCATCACAATTTTAAGACTTCAGTCTACAGGAATCACTAAATTTTTCTTCTGGAAGTGTAGTAGATTTTCTTTTCAGCCATTTTTAACCAATTTCAGCTTCTGATCCTAGTAATATGGCTTTTTCCCAAGTTTTTTGTTGTTAGTAGAGCCCAGACGTTTAACAAAATGTCTTCATTATTGTTGCGAATTTACGTCTTTTAACAATAGTTAATTTACTAGTGGAGTTACTTTAATAGATTTTCATTTTCACTTTTTTTTTGGGCCCATTTAAGCTTTTGGAGCCTATTCTTTTATTATTTTAGCCCTTTTCTTCCATTCGGCCATTATTTTTCTTTTTTTCACCTGGCATCAAGCTGGCAACACACTGCACGCCTGAACAACCTCAAGCACTGTCGATTTTTGTCTTGCTCTGCAAGCAGAGGCTCCAGGTTCATGAAGTGTTATAAATCTAAATGAGAGATGATGTTACAAGTCAAGCTTTTTGAATTTATTTCATTGAAACCGACAGGCTTTGTTCACTCACAAGGAACCCATCCTGTCTTTAACTGTGCTCACAGATCCTTTTCAAGGATAGAGCACTCTGTATATGTTATATGATATGGCTGTTCTCAGTGCTTGTGATTACACAAGTGAGAACAAAACCAATATTTATGTTTTCAATGATATTACAGGAATCAGGAGAGAGTCCACAATACCAGTTTATAGAGACAGCATCACAAATGCAACAAATTCATAGTATTAAACAGAAATGAGAAATGTAATGTGCTACTATGAATAAGATCATGTGCAATCGTGATTATAAAGGAAAATTTGTATCACTCCATGAAAATGATGATGTGAATTTTAATTAGAATAAAAAATTGATTTGTATTAAGTACTATTTTTTTAAAAGTTATTTCTTTTAATAGATGCTTTTCCATTGTTTCCTTGCCTTTTGCACCTCTATTTTAGCAAAATAAATGCTTTTTGCCAGCCTATTTTAGGGAAAATAAATGTCTTAACGTCCAGGCTCAAGTAGTTAGTTTCCTTTTTCTCCTGGCACAATCTCAATTATCTTGGAAATGTATCTGCAAACCTGGACAGCATTTGGGCACTGTCACATTTTTAATTCTTTGGAAAATTAGGGGTAGTATCAGGCAGGAAGCAATGAACTATGGCTTCAGATACAAACAGTTATAATCTACTTGGAGAAAAGCAAATGACGCTAGTCAAAATTCTGGATATTTTTTCTTTGATGCAGACAGGCTTTCTTCAGCCACAGTCAATCTCATCCCTTTCTAAAGTGTAGCCTCTGACCCATTTTCAGGACAGACCTATTTACACAACAAACTATGATACTTATTGACTTGTCCTAGCAACAATAAGAGTCCAAACAATGAAAATAATAATAGTGCTTTCAGTTATGCCAACCGAGAGAAGAAAATGGAATAGTTAAGCCCACTTTAGTGGACCTTACAACAGCATTGTGAGTGAAACAAATACATAATCAATATGCCGAAATTAAGAGTGCCATTAATATACCTTTTCACAAGCAAATGTGTTCTTCCTGATTATTCCTTAAGTTTGGGTTAGATATTTGATATCTCTGTGAAATAAAGATAAAAAGGTACAAGGTTTCTATGTAAATAGCAATGTAAATTTTAATATCAGAACTAACATTTAAATAATTGAAGTTATCAAAAAATAACCAAATATTAATTATTTATTATGAAATATCTAATGCATTTGTTATCTGATGCCTTTTTGCCCCATGTCTTACACAAAATAAAAGCTTTTTTGGGTACAAATACACGCTAGTACATAGAATACAAAGCGGGTCCTAATCATAACTACTCATATAATTAATATCAATCATCATCACCAAAATCAAATCATTAATTTGTGTACTATTCTTACTCTGATGTGTCTTAAATAATATTATGAAAGTAATGATTAAAAAAATGTAAATCAAGTATAAAAATGTGAGTAAACAATATCACAACAATTGCAAGAAAAAGCAACAGAAGGCACTTTATGTGGTAGATAATGTTTTATATACACTATTTTGTATTGCAATCAGATTAACAACTATTTAAAACAATGATTCATGTGCCTGATTTTTTTAAAAATAAATACACTGTAATGTTACAAAAGAAGTTACTACTGTAGTCTGGCAAGCTTGACTGGACTAGATGCTTTCACTGTGAGAAAAAATGGCCCTTCCTGGCCTGGAAAGAAGGTTGATGGAATTACATCGTATGTTCCAGATGGTATTGTATCAATCTCTAAAACTACAAAACCCGACCTACAACAAAAGAAATTGAAGGGCAGAAGTATTGGCATTATTGTTTTTCAAACAACATAGGTAGAGTATTTCTGTTTCTTAAGAATTGTAAATATCAAAACAAATATTTACCTAAAGGGACCAGAACTCTTCTTCTTGAATGCTGAGGGACTATTAGGATCACTGCAGACCACACACACTACCTCAATTCCTATCTGATATTGCTTTGGCCCCTTCAAATCAATGAGAATGTGATTGTTATTATGGGCTGATTCGACAGTGAACTGATATCGAGGATTGTTTTTGTATGTAGCTGGATGATTGCCACAACCACCAGCAGATTGGCCCTTCCATTGTCCAGAAACCTATCAAAATAACATAAATGAGTACAAAATTATTATAGGAGGATATTTATTCTAATTTTAAATCATTAATTGAAGGGCTGAGCGAAATAGTGATCTAACCTCCCAAAATGAAAAATTAGTTATTGACACCATTTGTTACTTGGAGATGAACTTTCTTTGAATATTGTTGGTTTGACCAGATTTTTTCTATAAAGTTATGAAGTCATTATTTTTTTCTATTCACAACTATTCCTACCACAATGTATCTAACTTTATTTTTCTGTTTTCTTAAAATGTGGCTACGACCTCTATTGTGCTGACCCCTTCAATTATAAAAAATAATATAAACTGCTGAGAACTAATTTTATAGTGACTTCATTGAAGAGTACAATTCCATTTTTGGGTAAATTAAACAAATTGCATATTTTTGCATCTTAATCGGAGGTGTATCTAAGTATTCTGGCACCCATGGCAAGCACAGGATTTGCATTTTAAATTAGGGTTGTTATTTGTTTAAGCGGGTATCTCTAAATAGCATCCCTTGTGAGTGGCGCCCACAGCTCGTGCCATGTCTGCCATGCTGTAGATACGCCTCTGATCTTAATACCTCTTTAGTGTGATGATATGGGTTTTCCAGTTTCTTCAGCATAAATGGACATGTCGCATATGCTCGTAAAGTGTAGAAAATGGTATGCATTTTCTCATACTGAGATACAACCAAAGTATAACGGTTTGCACTACTTTGATTTAAAATCAATTTGCATAAATAGTGTGGACTATTTATACGCACACCATCAATGAAAGGTGGGGGATCATCTGTAACAAATAAATTTGTAACCTCAGTAACATTCCATTGTTTGAGACAGAAGGTTGTCTCTAAGTCTTCCTTGACTGGTTGTATTTAAATTCTAAAAGAACAAGATACAAAACTTTTAAAAAAAGCAAGGCTACGTCAATTACCAGTGACAATACCATCGATAAATGCAAATAGTTAATGATTACAAATATAGTTTATCGACTACTAGCAAAATCTTATACCATTCTCAGTTTTAATTTCCCTATAAGCTGTTGCTGTAACTTCTTTTACAAAATAAAATCAAATGCTTCCAAATATTACTCTTGGGAAGTTGAGGTAAAAGGCCACAAAATCAACATTTCTGAATTGAATGTACAAATACATATAATCTAACTTGCAGCTTTTTACATTTTTGCATACTACTTAGTACAAGGGTTGCCTTTTATATTTCAGGATTAGAGGACAGAAACCAATATTAATCATCGAAAATCAATTTATTGTTTTTCAAAATATTCCACTTGAAGATCTATACACTTGCATGTGTTTGAGCCAATTGTCGAAGCACTTTTGCCACTCTGATTGAGGTATCTCCAAAACATGCATTCTGAATGCAGCAAGCGCTTCTTCAGGTTTCAAAAAAACGTTGACCTCTCAGTTTGTTTTTTACGTACGGGAATAAAAAGAAGTCATTCAGTGCCAAGTCAGGACTATACTGCGGATGACTCATCAAATCAATGTTTTGGGTGCTCAAAAAGGCAGTTGTTTGAGCCGATGTATGAGAGCTAGCATTGTTGTGGTGAAGAGTGACCCGTCTTCGGCGGTTGGTTTTCCTGATTTCTTGGAAGACAGCTGGCAAACAAATCGTTGTGTACCACTCAGAATTGACTGTTCTGCGTTGTTCTAGTGGTACGGTTGCGACATGTCCAGCTTTTTCGAAAAACAAAAGAAAAAGCGATCATCTGTTTGGAAGTGCTTCGTGCGCGAACAACTTTTGTTGGATTTTGCTCATCTTGAAACACCCATACAGTCGACTGCTATTTACTTTCGGGCTCGTACGCGTGAATCCACGATTCATCACTTGTCACGATGTCATATACGTTTCGAAGCACCGCATTTTTCGAGAATTTCTTTCGACCAATCGACACGGGCCTGTTTTTGGGCGATTGACAAATTGTGTGGGATCCAACGCGAACATTTTTTTGACAGTCAAATGTTCATACAATATTGAATGTATGCTGGTCTCACTAATGCCTAAGGTCTCAATCTCACGATAGGTCACATGACGATCCTGAAATATTAGTTCACGCACAGCATCAATGGTTTTCGGAACAACAACTGATTTTGGACGACCTTCGCGAAATTCGTCTTGGAGTGAACTACGACCACGATTGAATTCACCATACCATCGATAAACACTAGTCATTGATGAAGCTTCATCACCAAACATTGAATTAAGTTCATTCATGCACTGTTGCTGAGTTAATTCACGTCGAAAGTTGTAAAAAATAATCGCACGAAAATGTTCACGATTTAATTCCATTTTGGACCAAGATAAATTTTTAAAGTTACTGTAAACAACACAAATAGCGGCTGTATGTCAAAACGTTCTGAGTATGTATAACCTCAAAACATACAACTTTACGATAGAGCTGTCAGTTGCCAGATTGCAACACCAAGGTTGCCAAATCCCGAAGCATAAAAGGCAACCTTCGTAGGTCTATAGAGTATTAGTATAAAGTATTTTATTGCTGTGGCAGGAAACAGCAATTTTTAATCACAGAAACTCATATTGGGGGTCCCCAATGCCGAAAAACTGAATAAATCTGTTTTCTATATCTAGTAAATTACTTCCTTAAACTTGTTGATCTTAACATCTTAATGTTTCAGAATCCACTTTTTGAGGGTCGTCGATACCAAAAAATTGGCAGAAGGCAAAACATTCATGTGCAATTATAAGGGCTTATTTTGTTAAGATGATTTTCTCTAAAACTAATATTTCTCATCAATTTCACACAACTCAAATTTCCTGTAAATTTGAAACAAATATTTACTTTATATGACTACTTAAGATTTTCAACATTTTCTCGAAAATGGTTCCATATTTTTATGGATTTTTATTCATGGATAGAGCAAATGACACTTAAAAAAATATTTTCTTTTAAGGTTTGAATGCACTTTTATTAACCCTGGTTTTAGTTAATTTACTTGAAGAAGAAGAAGTAGAAGAAGAAAAAGAAGTAGAAGAAGAAAAACAAAAAGATGTAGAAGTAGTAGCAGTAGAAGAAGAAGAAGAAGAAGAAGAAGAAGAAGAAGTAGTAGTAGTAGTAGTAGAAGTAGTAATAGAAGTAGAAGACGTAGAAGTAGAAGAAGAAGAAGTAGAAGTTGTCTCTAAAGAACCTGAATATGATTCAAGTGATCATTGTTATGTTATGTAAAGTAACCATCTTCTTAAGTGAAAAGGACAGAAAAATTAAGGCTGTGACTGTATTCCTTTTTTAGAAAATTAATCTCTGAAAATTGAAATTGTTTTATTCATGATCAATAGTTTTGGTTGCAAATATTACCACAATAAAAATATATTAGTTATATTCATCACTGATTTGTACTCAAAATATTGTTTCATGTTGTTCAGTACCTATTCTCCCAGAGTAATGAAATGAGAGAGGTTTACAAATTCTGCATCAATACAATCTCTATTCACTGCAAAAGTTTCTGAAAATGTAACATATGTTTAATATTTTCCAATATCAGTACAGATATGTTGCAGTGGACTATAGGAGGGAAATCTACTACCCATTACCTTACCGTTACATTAAAAACCTTAATCATCACATTAATTATAAAAATTGAATTTTTTTTTGTAAAGGGGCAACACTCAGCATTTGAACTCAAAAGTATCTTCTCCTTGCTAAGTATAATCTTATGACGCATTGACTTCTTTTGATAGATCAACTGGGCTGGCTCAGTGGTTTAGAGTGAAGTCACTCGCCTTTCACCAAGGAGATCAGGGTTTGATTTCCAGACAATCTCATGTGAAATTTGTTCTAACAAAGGCACGTTGCGTCAATCCAGATGCAACAAATTAAAAGAACCTGCATCATGCACAAGAAAGCAGCCACGACCAACTACATTCCATCTACACAATGCAACTGGTCTTGAAATTGACTTAATGACAAATTATGTCAATTAATGTTCATTCTATGAATTTTAAAATACTATTAAAATTGTATGGTTTATACTATAACACCTGTTAATAAGAGCAAGTGGTAATGGATTTAGGGTTCACTACCTCTAATTTAACGCAAAAATCTTGAAATTGGGTTGAGTGGAAAACTCAAATTTCTTTCTAAACAAAGTCTTAGTGTCTTTAATAAATAGATGATAAAATGTAAAAAATAAATATATAAATTAAAAACATTTGGCATCTAGTTTAAAGTTTTCCAGCCTCCCCATTCACCATTCTTGCCAACCACACTTATTAATCTTTTAAAAAAGTTACATATAATTTTAATATAGCGAGTTACATAAGTGTGTCAATCATCTTGTGCATGTGTTAAATATACTATAATTTAACATGCCTTGTGCAAAACATGTTTCATGTACACATTGTAATTTCTCACATTTGGAAAGAATGGGAAAACTTTTTACATGCATGGTATGTTAAAGAAAAAGAAAGAAAGAGGAAAAAAAAAAAATCAAAATACAATTCAAGAAAAGTAAGATTTTTTTAGTTACATACAAGGATAAAATACACGTCGGCCCTCATTCTTGTAGACCAGAACTGTTATGTATTCTCTATTTTCTTTGAAGTCCTCTATTTGTGTAATGTGCCTTGTAAGTAAAATCCACACAGCACCAGAAGCGCCTGGCTCCACTTCCAGGCTAAACTGGGGGTTTTCACCAATGTTGTAGGCATCCTTTACAGGTCCAGAACCAGCTTGCCATGCTCTGCGATAATCAAAGCAAGAAATTATGTTATAATACATGATAAAATATGGTACAGAATGTAAACAAGAAATTTCATTAAAAATGCTCTACAACATAATTATTCTCAAACAACATTTCTGAAGAATATATTTGCATGGAAAAGTTTGAAAAGATGATATTGCATTCAAAGAACAAAATAATTTTTAATAATATTAATTTTGAAGACATATGTCATTGCTCAAGCACCCATGACAGGGAACAGATAAGTGTTCTTGGGATATAAATTTCAAGTATTTGCACTTTGAGCAAAAACATTGTTTTTTACATTTCCATTCAAATTTTTGATATTGATCTCTTTGTCCTTTCTCTCGAAGTTGCTTTTTACTTGCAAAACCAGTAAATGTTGATTCTCTGTCTTTAATTCCTCTTGGAATGTTGCCTGAAACTGCACAATTAGAGAGATCATCTCTGACAAGTTCAAGACTCAAGATTCTTGAGAAATTGTGGCATATAAAATTCCAAGTTATTGATACAATTGGAAACTATGTAAGAATTTAAGTCAGTGACATTCGTTATAATGAATAACTTGAATGTCTATAGCGCAACTGTAAGCATCACTCAACTTCCTTCGTCTTCATGACTGCTTTTTTGGTGTTCATTACTGGTGTCATTTTCTGTTTCCCATTTTCACATTCATCTTCACCTATTCTAGTCTTATGTATTCAGTTCCGACCCCTGAAAAAGTTGATAATCGAATTGCATTGTCTTCATAACAAGGATTAAATTCCATTGAGATATACATTAAATAAATTAAATTTCATGTTTGATTTATTGATTCATTCACGTATGCCTATCGATTTTGTAGATTGAAATTTTGTCACAAATATCACAATGTAATATAACACATATAAGAGGTTTAGCAAATGTATGAAAGTATATAATTGACATATATGGAGAACTGTGTGTAAAAAAGAAATTTAATTTCACTCTTTGTCATCAAAACATTGTATTACATAAGTTAATTAAGACATTTACTAGTGATAATAATATATAATGTATTTCTTTTTCTGAAATTTTGTGTTATATTAAGTTTAATAACAATAAGCTTAAATCATTTTTTTAATGTTAAATTTGAAACTAGATAAAGATCTATCTCAGAAATCAACATGTGGTGCTATTAGATTAATAATATTAGCTACGCTATTGTGTGGCCGAAAAATTACATAATTGTTAGATTTCTTCACATCTAGTAGTCTTCTTGTTTGCAGTTTAGTCCTGGCACGTACAGGCCAAATTGCTCCAATATTTCTGGCAAATTGATAAAACCATTAATTACCTTATAAAAAAAAAATAGGTTGATCATCTGTTTCCAAGTTCCACGGCTATCACTTAAGTATATCTTAAACATCATCAGTGTTGCTCACATTTTCATCTCGACAGTGGCAAATCAGGAATTTACAGAACTTCCATTCAACTCTCTCAATTCATGTGGTATGTTGGGCTGTGTACGGTAACCAAACTATGCTTCCATATTCTACTATTGGTACTACTAAGGCAGAGAATAAATTAGTGTGTTGATGTTTTTAAATTCTTTTCTAGAGCCGAGTATGAATCCAAAGATTTTGTACGCTTTTTTAGAAACCTAGTCTGTATGATCAGCAAAAATAAGTTTATCATCAATCATTATACCCAGACCTTGAAATGAGTGAAGAAGGTTTCTTCCCTCTATCTTGTAGTTGATGTTTTACACATTGTATTCACAACAAGCACAGGAGAAGATCATCATAGCAATATTCAATTTTCAAGAATAACTTGTTATCCACACACAATTTCTTGAGTTCAGAAATGTTTTGCTGAAGAACAGTCATATCACACTTGTTTTCAATAGATCTGTAGATCTTCATATCTTCAGTATATAACAAATATTCTGATTTTATCTCCTCACCAATATCATTTATGAAGATAATGAATAGTATTGGCCTGACACGAGTTTCCCTCAGGCCTTCATTGCCTTGAGGAAGCCTGCGACATGTTAAGCAAAACGTCAGCCTCTCAGCTAACATCATGGTGTCTCCCGGATAATCAAGAATTTAAGGAATTGCGCTGCGGAAGCTTACGTGTGCATGAGTTCCCTATGGTATACCGGACTTTTATAGAAGTTAAAGTTGCACTAAATAGTACAATGAGCAACAATTTCATTCTGAAAGCATTTTCCAGTTTTTGCTAAATGCTTTCTCAACAAGTATGTTTTGTTCCTCTCTTTTCTTATTTTTTATTTTATCTTTAAAGTACATCACTTTTAAAAGAGGGCATTTACTTACTGGTGAATACAGTAGGTGTACTTGAAGAGTCCTGGGCTCCAATTCAAATAAAACACATCAAAAAATCTAAGGATACTGTCATAGTCTATCCAAAAAATTCCATTGTCAAACATGGCAGCACTACTTGGGTCATAGTTTAAAGCTTGTCTCAACTCAGGAGTCCAGTGACGAACATCCAATTCAGAGTAATTACCACGCCAACGAAGATGTGACCATGGGTTTTTCAGTTGTAATAACCTTACACCCTGTTGAAGTACGAAAACATCATTAAATTTCATCAGATACATAGGACCATTCAGAAATGAGCATTCATTCGTCTTTAAATTTTAGAGATTTGATCACTTGTCTTTCCAAGGACTTAAATCTACAGACAAAGAAACACGCATGTTTATCAACAAAGTATGTCATATATCAAAGCAGTCAAAATAAGTCAACACAAAATATTTACAATTACATAATGCAGCAGACTGAGGAAATTCATGATCCAATATTATTTTATGAGATTATTGTTTGAAGCACCTTTAATGAAAATAAAATTTACTTAAATGTCAGGCTATTAATGCAACATTCTTCAGATAGAAAATCCTTACTTCAATTGTCTCGCATATACAATGAAATCTGTACAAGGGACTAAAAAAAGTGATTTTTGTGCTTAATAGAGAGCACCTCTTACTTTTGCACTTATGCAGAAAGAGAAAGTATTGTAACACTGTGGGAAAAAATGGTGATTTTTCGATCGCAAAACTCTTCTCACCAGGCTCTGGCAATGCAAAAGTGGATAAATCTTCTTTTCCTATATGTAGTAAATTACGTCCTCTGACATGGCATGTAGTCAGAATCCACAATTGTTGGGTCCTTGATACCGAAAAATGGAATGATGGCCAAATGTCTGTTCATCAGGCTGTTAACAACCATAGCAACAAAGCAGAATTTCCACCAAAATTGATATTGCCCAATCAATCTAACTAATGTCGCAGCCTCTTGAATTTGAATTTTTTTTTTTTTTAAAAAGGGTAGAGTTTTATGAAATTGAAGAGTTGTATTGAAATTCCTGCATTCTCAGATTGCAATTTTCCACAATTCAATGTAGCAGCATGTTTACTTTTGTAATTCTTGAAAAGAATTCCTAAATTATATTTTAAAGCAAGGCGAGTTTTCTTTGGAAAAAATACACTTATTTATGCGTTCCAATGTAGCATCCAACTATTTATTATAAATATTTATTTTAACAACTGCATAATAATTTTTTATATAAAATAATAGCATACTTCAAACATCTGAACAATTGTGAAAATTGTTCGTTAAAGGATCTGGTAGCACCGACACATAAAAAAAAAGTTATCAGACTCAAAGACTTGACATAGGTTTCTCGATGTATGTCGTCATGCTGACTCTGAATCTGAAGCCAGAATTGCACCACCACCCTCCATATTTTTATAATTTGTGAAAGAGGCAAAAATTTAGTCCCTTTCAAGAGGCACACATAGTAAACCATAATAATTAAGAATTGTAATTTAAAACCCTTTACATATTAAATTGCAATGTTATTGCCTTTACTTACAAAACTACTTTCTTTTATGGACTTCTTGATTGTTATAAAAGCCATTGGTTTAGAAAGAATAACACATTATTCTATTTAGAGTAATTGTACCACTAGCAAAGCAACCTACCTGTACGCAACGAGCATCCAGGACGGCGTAAGCATGCGTTGGCACCAAGCCTGACCTCTGCTCATCCGCCGCACTCAGCTCTCCTGTGGCAGCTGTCACCAGCACATCTCCTTTGTTCATGCGACTCAGCAGTTTGTCAAAGAGGGCATTGCTATTGAAATCAGGCTCGTTAGGTCGAATGGCAACCCGTTCTGGAATCCACCCCGTCAGCGCATGAAGATCAATATTCTGCAACAAAACAATATCACATTTTTTCAATATGTCTTCCACATTGAGTCAAAGATAGTGCGTTTAGTTTATTTGCACTGAAAATGAAACCAGTGATAAAAAAATTAACAGCATTTAATACTATTTGAGAATTATTATATTTTTTAAATGTGCAGTTAACCAAATTATATTTAAGAAGGTTCAATTCATATGTTTCATCATTTCTAATTTAATTTGGTTTGAAAATCTAGCTAATGTAACTTAGCAAAAGAGAAAATGTATGAGTTTTCTTGGCTGAAATGTCGAAACTCCTTCAAGAGAAAACAGTATGTGCTAAAATACTAGCTGATGATTATTTTTTTACATTTATTTCAGCTAAATTCTGTTGCTAATGATAAAATATGTTTTGATTTCATATTTTTTCAATGGGGAGCTTTTTGTTACAGTTTTGTTTTATATACTATAGATCGCTATTCTAAGTAGGTGTGGAACTCAAATTAATTTGCCAGTGGTAAAGTTCATTACTCTCCCCCTTGCCAACCTTCTCCTTCCCCTCAGGGCACCAGCAGAAGGGAAAGGGAAAAGGGAGGAAGTGGTCCAGGCGATGACCTGGGCATTCTCAGTGCCACTGACTGGTGTGTACCGATATACCGTGTACAATAAAAAAATAAAAGAAAATTTTGGGACAGTGTGCCGATATTTTTTAAATGCACTTAAACATGTGTTTGGCAAGTCCATGTTCTCTTTTTTATTATATTTCTCTCATTCTCTGTATCGTGAGGATATTTGATAACTCGATCGACCCCGGCCCCAGTTGATTCCGGTGAACAAGGTTGTTTCTCTCTCTTTTTCTCTCGCTCCCTGTGAGTGAGTGCGTGTGTGTATGCATGAGCGCGCACGAGTGTGTATATATAATATTGTATGCTTTGTCAAACTTATTTGTAACGTCACCCATGTTCGCTTCTAATGAGTTTGTCACATTACTTTCTATAGGCAATATGCTAAGGTCAGTGTCAGTCTCTTCTGCCCCATTGAATTTTACAGATAATTTTTGATAGTTCTGTATTTTTATTTTCTCACCCTTACATAATCTATCTTACACATATCATAAAAACCACTGATTTAGATTAGATTTATAATTAATTCTTCAATTAAGTGTGAGAACTTGGGCAGAATACACTAACTTAACATTACACAACTTAACAACTATACAAAATCTACAAACTTTACAAAATCATGTGAACATTTCACCATGAACTGTTGAACCTAAAGAGGAAGAGCTTCGCGACAACAATACTGTGGATTACATCTCCTTGGATGAATTAAAGCAACCCTTGAACAGTATAAAAAACAGGAAGGCATGTGATCCTGATGGAGTTAACATGGACCTCCATTTATGGAAACACAAAATATGCAGGCCCCTTAAGCGAATTTAGACTGCTTCATCTGTTCAACGAATGCTGGAAATCTTATAAGACACCCAATAGCTGGAAAATAACAGAGATAATATCTATCTTTAAAAAAGGTAAAAGAAATGAATGTGGAAACTACAGGGGTATCAGCCTCATGAATGTCGCTTACAAAGTATTTGCAAAAATTATCAACGCTCAATTGAAAATTATAGCAGAGGCAAAATTATATTACAAGAAGAACAATCGGGATTTTGGAAAGGACGCTCTTGTAACAACAACATTTTTAGTCTTAAAAGAATATTAGAAAAATGACAAGAAGAAAATAAGGAAACCCATATAGCCTTTATTGACTTCAAGAAAGCTTTTGATAGCGTGGACAGACACAAGCTATGGAAAATAATGAGCGAAAGTGGCTATCCTGGACACCTCATAAAAACCATCAAAAATATGTATAAAGAGACAAAAATTATAATAATTACTGTCATAAAAAAGACTGAAGAAATATATATATAACTAACTACGGTTCTTGATAGCAATAGATAAAGCTTTTTTATTACTGATGGGAAAGTTGTAAAGTGTAAAATATGCATCTACTTGTGCTCTCCAAATGATTTTTAAAACCTTAGCATTATTTTTAAAACAATTATAATTTTAAAATTAGTTCCATAAATTTTTGATAAATGTAATTTTGAAGTAGGAAAGCCCTATATGTGTTTTATAATTAGTGTATTTTAATATTACATATTATACATAATTTTAAACATTAATTACATATTCTTACAATTTTCATTACATATTTCGACATTTCATACAACTATTTTTGGGTCTCTATTAATCATGATATATGGTATGCAAAATTACAGCTTAAAAGAAACTTAAAACAGATTTTCCGTCCCAAATTTCAAGATTGTATTGTAGAGAAGTTTGGAATAGGTTCTTTCTCTATACATATATACTACAATAGAGAGATGAAAAGTACAAATACATTAAGTAACATAGACATTTACTATTTTACATGCTTGTAATGTATCTCGTGATTATAAAATTAGCAACTATTTTGGACATCCTTTCATTGGAATATCACAAAAAATTTAATAAAATTATTATTTTTTTAGAACCCTACCAACTTGGACCAAATGTTTTGGTAGCCAAGCTCTGCCTGTTACAAGTCAGGACAAAGAGGGAAGTGTTAGAGGAGTAACAACTCTTTAAAAAACTTGTGTCCAGCTAGCTCTGGCTGGTAGCACTTCATCAGGGCCCCTTGCCAGGGTTACAGTGAAGACCTCAATGGGAAGATTGACCAGAAGAGGTGTCCATTCTTCAGGGATTAATATGAAGACCTGTCTTGGGGGAAACAAGAAGAAAGTCCTTAACGGCTAAAAGGCTGATGAGGCAGCCCTTCTTATGGGGTTTATACATAAGAGAGGATACTGGGGTCCCCTTCAGCCAGCACATTCAACGTAGGGTTGGTAGCCTGACTCGGGAACTAATCTTACTCACAAGCTTCAAAGGAACTGCCCAACGGAAATGAAGATGACGAGATGATGCAATAAATAAAGGATGAATGAATAATGGAATCCAGAAGAAATTACGTATAGCAGCATAGAATGTCAGAGGGATTATAAATAAAGGAATCAAAGTAGAAAAAACAAATGATTGAAATGTATGTAGATTTTGTAGGTTTATTGGAAACTAAAAAGAAATTAAAGGGTACAATACTATTAGAAAAGTATATAATGATATATAGTGATGTCCCACAAGTAGAGAGGGCCTCAGCATAAAAATAGAATAGTATCATACACATTTACAAATGAAAGAATAGTAACACTATGAATTAAAGTAGAAAGAGGATTCATGACTATATAGCAATACATGCCCAGACGAAGGAAGGAAAGATAAAACATCTGAATTATATGAAAAACTATGAGTTGTAATAAATCAAGTTAACAATAATGATTATCTGATAGTTTTGGGAGATTATAATGCCAGATTTGGAAATAATCCTATCCTTCATATAATTGGAACAGAGGACAAACATGTTTTAAATCAAAATGATCATACATTAATAGAATTTGCAGTATTCAACAAATTAAGAGTAACAAATACATTTTATAGACACCAAATATTCATAAATATACATGGACTGCAAGAGGAAGTGCTTCTATTACAGATTATGTACTGGCAAACAAAAAGACCCAGGCTCTAATAAATAACACTAGTGTTCAGAGGTCCAGATATCTCAACAGAGCGTTTCCTAGTCACCTCAATATTACAACTACGGATTACTGATACGAAAAAAGAGCATCAGAATGCTATATCAAACAAGATTGAGAGTAGAATTACAATCAACACCAACTAGAAATAACATAAATGAATTACAGTATTGTTTGCAGATGATCAAGTCATTATATGCCGTCACAAGAAAAGCAAGAAATAAAAAACAAATTAAAAAATTTAGGCGTGAAATCCATTATTAAAGAATATCAAGAAAAGTGGAAAAATCCTATATTAAGAATGTCCAAAGAAAGGATAGTCAAAGTTTGCTTTGCACTACAAGCCAAAAGGGAGAAGAAATGTGGCAAGATCACTGAGAAGATGGAATGAGCGCGCAGTTTTCAAGAGCTGAAACAGACTGAACAAGTCTTGTCCTTGCAATTGATGATAATGATGAATTTTTTAAGTAATTTATTAAATAATAAAGTGGAAAGTATGAAATTATTATTGAAAGTAGCTTGGAATGTTACCACTAAACGTTTTTTACAGATGTTGGGCTTGTAATGGTTGTTCCTTACATTGCCTATAACATTATCTAATTATTAGAATACTCCATTACATAAAATGTCAATATGTATACAATAAAAACCATCATCATCACAAACGAACAAGAAATTACACTCTTCTGCCAATTGGTTTATTATAGTATTCTTGGAAAATTATTAGTCTCCCAAGTGTTCCTGTTGTTGCCACCTCTTTAGTGGTCTCCTCCTATCTGTGATCCCTATCGGTTTATACTTCCAGAAAATTTTATAGAATTATTTCATATTTATACAGATTATTTCATATAATTTTTCCACATAAATAGAAATTCATGATGATAATTTGAAATATAAAGCTATGACAGATTCAAGTTCACTTTAATGATGATAAATAATTTATTTCACTTTTTAACATTATGTTTGCCTATTGGGCCATTGTCATTACTTTTGTAAATTAATTACTAATATTTGAATGCATTCTAAAAAATAAATAACAGAATGAGATTATTTTCTTATGATGGTTCCAATAGATTGGTTGGAACATTGACATCAATGCCTTGGAATCTGCATATAGATTCATTTGAATTATTGCTGCTCAAACCTTTCTCATCACAATATTTATAAATTTTGTTCACTTTCAGTAAGTTTTAATAAAATTAAGGTTTATTTTGATATTTAATTATTTTTGTAGCAGTGTTCATGATAAGATGCAAGAGACATAACAGTAATCCTTCAAATATGAATTCATGTGATATCAACAACAGCCAAATAAAATAAATACTTACACTGTTTGAACCTGGGAAATCATATCCACCCATAACTTTCATGTAGGCCTTTTCCAGTAATGAAATCCAAAATTCACTACGATTGGTAGAATAAGAACATAATAATTCCCCATGCTTCCCAACTGGTAACTGGTCATCTATTATAACTTTCCGAGGCACACCATTCAGGTATAATTTTATCATGTACTTTCCTGGAAAGCCCAGAATAATGGTTGAAAACTTAAAAATAAAATCACTTCCTAATTCCAAGAGCAGAAATAAATTTTCTTTCCAAACACCAATTACACAAAAATTTCATTTGTCATTTAAGGAGCTCCCATGGGAAAGCACACAAGTTAAAAAAATCACTTTTTTGTTTTTGTATCTTGGACCTGCAAGTACAAACTGACGCCCATGGAATGGTAATGCGGTTAAGACTGTGCATTGTTTCGATTCACTTTCATGGTTTCTGAAGGATGGCATCAGTTATAAGTCCATGTGTTTTGGCAAGGAGAAGTGTGTATGTGCATAGCCATATTGTGCCTATTTGCAACAATTTATGATTCTTTTTTGATAACCGATAAATTTAATAAGTGATTCTTATTACCAATACGAGTAATTAGTTAAAATTCCATTGAATCATCTTAAATGAGGAGTATAAGGATTTATATCACAATATTTAGGGATAATTAATTTTTTCCAAACATTTGATAATGTTCTTGAACATTAATTTGTTTTCAGTGACATGTAATGATGTTTAAACAAATACATTTTTCATACAAGGTTTTCTAAACAGTCTTTTGCTTCTCCTGTAAAATTGCAATTTTGGTCCTAAGTCCTTTCCCACAGGAGCTTATTTGTCTACCACCAACAGAGATGTATGAAAAAAGCAACTGAAGACTACTTACCAAAAGGATTATATACAGGTTCATTGTGGCGATTTCGTGGAAAGATGATAGAGGTTATAAGACGACGTCCAAATCGCTTCTCATAGAGCGCACTAACTGCCAGGGAGGCCACAAAAGAGCAGTCTGAAACCAGCTGTAATTGTTGTCACAATTAAATCCTGGAGAAAGAGATGTGTGCCAAAGCCTTTCAATGAAAATGACTCAAAAGATTCACCACTGTCCAAAACTCAATATTTGGAAAAAGGTAACGGCACTGAATGTGGACAGGTCATCTAAAGCTGACATGCAAAGATTAAATTGTTCATGAAATGAGCATTCTAATAGTTAAGGTGGTTGACAACAAAAAAGGTGGCAGTAATAGTTCCAGACCTTAGCTTGACGTGATAAGTCTAATTAATTCCAATCAAACGATTTATCGATTTGACATGTGTACTTGAGCAGGTAATCCATGGAAATCCCTATGAATTTCTTAAACAATTTGCTTACGTTTTTTAATCAATAATATAAAATAAGTTTGCTTTATGGTATTGGGATGTTAGGATGTTAACAAGGAAAGCATTAGGAAATGTTCTGCACGTTTAGAACCTTACTTGAGTCTATATCATTCATATTAAAAGAGTTGTTAGGTTTAGAATCTTGAAAATTTGACAACAGGGTCAACTTTAGACCCTGATTTTAATTTTGTACTCTTTATGTTGTGTTAACATGAAGAAATTTCATAAATAGGGGGTATTAAGTTAAATAGCCTAATTGGTCCAGAAACTAATGGTGTGTCAACCTCAGGTCCCCCTTATGTCAGTTTTAGGAAACCTTATAATTAATGTGCCTTTTATGCAAATTCAGGTAATATGGCACTCCAAAAAAGCCTCAAGTACCCAAAGGACATGCTGTTGAAAGCAATAGAGGAAGAAGTTATAATGCAGCAGCAAAGGAGATTAGCCAGATATGTATTAAGAAAAGAACTAGTAAAAGAGAAGTAATTAATTTGTGATATCCCAACAATTTTGTATACCGGAAATGATCTCATATGTACTATGTTAAACATTACATTTAATTCAATTTATTAAAAATAATCATTTACTAAAATTAATTTGTGTTTTTTGCTCATGACATCTTTAGGTTCCTTCCATGTCAGCTTTAGGAACCAGTAACAATCAGTCTGTCAGATTCAGGTGACTTAGCAGTTTTGGTTTCTTGTTTCAAAAAAGAAAATGGCTTGAAATATTTAATTATTCATTACAGATGAAGTCCTGTAAACTTGTAAAGAATCCAACTATAACTGAAAAGAAAGGTTGGTGTAATTATTTTGACTACCAGTAATTTTTCCCTCAACCTGTCAGCTTTTGGCGCCGTTACCTTAGAAACTTAAGAACAACTTACCGTTTGTTTGATAGAAAAGTAATCAACATGAGTTCCCACTACGAGACGAGGTTCTTTACAGAGCTCATCAGGGCGAGACCATCGAGCAAAATCTCTCTTCTGTTTTGGAGATAATGACAGCAAACCGTCTTTATCAGTAAATGGAATGGCATACTGAAAACGTTCTTGCAAATCAATAATCATGAAGGGAACATATTCCTTGCCATTGATATTAGATGTTTGAAGCAGAACTCGCTTTTCTTCCTCTGTATAAGTATCTTGGCCGGCTGCAACTTTTAAATGAGCGCTACTGCCTCGATGCAACCCAGGTCGTTCAGGTCCTGAAAAGTAAACTTTTGAAGTAAGTGCATTTTCCTTCTTTTTAAGTAATACTAATTTTACAACTGTTAATACTTTAAGATTTAAAAAAGAAACAATATCTACACTTATATTAGTTTATATTTACATACTTTAAAGAATATTGAAACAAAGCCAAACTTATTTTAGAAAAAAATTGCAGTACGTTAAGTAATATAAATGTATTTCACAATATATTTTCAGAACTCTTAATGATGAAAAAAATAATAAATAAATAAGTAAACAAGTTTTACAATCTAAAATAATTACAATTAAATTTTTTTATGTTCCACATAGCAGAAGTTAAAACATTTCTCCTTTTGAACAGCAGAAGTGATATTCTTTTCTAAGACAGCTTCAACAGCAATGTCAATAATTAGTGCAATGATGTCTCAATTTTGTTCAAATGAGAAATTAAAATCGGGGCAATGAATTGCTTTTACTGAGATTTGTCACATACCTTTGGATGGAGGCACTCTAGATGATCCAGCAGGAGTTGTGTTCTCTGGAACTGATGGAAGAGTAGGTTGTGGTAGCGTTGATTTCAGAGTGGGCTTATCAGATGGGGTTACAATCCCTTTAAGTTCTTCAGCTCGTTCTAAAGCTTGGCGAGCTACAGCAGTAAGTTTTGAATGAAGTTCAGGATCTGAAGTAGCTGATCTCTGAGAAAATATTAATAATAAAAAAAAAAAAAACTGAACCTATGTCAATCATTAGCAAAACATGAACAAAAATTATTACTAAGGTCTGCAATATTATTAAAATACTGTTCAAAATTTTTTTGACAATTAAAATATGATTTAAAAAGTTTGAGAATATATTAATTGTAGACAGTAATGTAATATGTAATTGTAGTGGAAGTCCCCCACATTAAGTTCATCCTGCAACACTGAAGCAATAGAATACATGGTAACAAGAAGTTCTTTGAATTAATTACTGGCAGTCTTCTTGCAATTAGTATTTAATAGTGAAAAGTAGTTGAAGTAAAGAAAAGGAGTTTGTTGCATTAACTAGAAAGAGAGAAGTGTGTTCCTTACTGCCTCCAAACCCAATTCCACAGCCTTCGAATACAGTTCAACAGCATCATCACGATTGCCTGCTTCATCTGCATCAAGAGCTTGTGTAAACAGGAAGTGACACTGTTGCAATTTTCGTTGAGATGTTGGAGGTTGACACACAACCTGTCTCTGTTCTGTAAATTAAAAATAAGTAAAGTTATTTTTAGGATTTTATGAATAGGATAATGAAAGACATATAAACTGACAATAAAAACAAAAGTTTTTCAGAAGTTCACACAAATAAAAAAAGAAAAAGCAGTTTTGATATATTTCATTTTCAATTACTAAAGGCATTATTGTAAGAAAGTCTGTACTCAAGTAAACATAAATATAAAAAATACAAACAAATTTGAAATTTGAAAACAAAAACCTCACTAATAATTATAAGAGCATAAAATTATCACACAAAATAAATATAAAACATACTCAATTCGTTCAGTTGTTCAGCTCTTTCTGAATATTTTTTGGCATGACTGCTCCAAACAGCCACATTTTCATTTTGTGGATGAGCAGAAGTTGCCAAAGTCAAAAAATGAGCTGCTTCTTTGTAATAAAATTGGGCAACTTCAATTTGGCCAGATTTTTCAAATTGTATAGCCCTGGTTGCTGATGTCTGGGCATCTTCAACCAAACCTTGTGCATTCCAACTCATATTTAGAATTTTTTCTATAAATGGAGTTTCATATATGCTTCCCTAAATTGTCATTAATACTAAAAAGTAATGACACAATAACTTGTTGCCATCTTCATATCTTTCACCATTATACTAATAACTCTAGAAATATGTACTCTATCCTATTATGTATCTTCCTTATAGTATTACAACATTCACGTTTTTATCACTAATAATAAATATTGTCCACACTTTTCTATTAATGATATAATATCATTTTCGTGTCAGACAAATCACACGAATAGCTCACGAACTGTCACATTAACATTTCCTAATAAATTGCTACGCAACAATTTATGGTGTCATCTTCTCACAATAAGCTCCCAACTGTGCTGCTGCTGACACATAATGCAAATATTCTGACCAATTTTGACGTTTACATACACTCTTTACCCTAACTTGCATACTACCAACAGCAACACACTCACATTCCTCCACTTGACTTTGACTACGTGGTTAAACGAACTGCCATAGAATAATTTGCTCTACACTCTTGGCACTACTCTTCGTCCTCTTGTATCGTACCGTTCAGCCAACAACGTTCTGGCGGCATATATGAATGATAACCCCCACACTCCATCTGTCAATACGCACACAAGCATTATACAGGAATTACTCTAAGAAGGGACCACTTTGACAGGTCGCGAAACAAAGAACGTCATTCAGGGCGGCGATTCTGTAAGAGATAGTGATAAAGCTTACTGTAAACGAAAACACTGACCAAATTAGTGCATGGATGTAACTTGCAGTTATATTGCCAGAAATGGCAAAGCAGTAATAATAATAATAATAATAATAATAATAATAATAATAATAATAATAATAATAATAATAATATTTGAGTCACACCTACAATTACAATTGTGTATGACGAGGCAAATATGATATATTTAGAGGGAGTACAATTACATACATCTTGGGAGCAGCGAGTGAAGTTACATTTATTTTTATTGTCGAGAAGCAAAACAAGGGCCATCTCAGCATTTGCTCAAAGGACCAGGGAAACTGGACAAAAAACCTGTAGTACAGTAGCTGTCAAAGCTGTCCCTTCTTGTTGTAACATCTCTATACTAATTGTTACACATGGCATCAAGGAGATATGTGCATTGATAAAAATATGATTTACTGTTTTGAAACATTTATGATATTATTTGAAACATGATGATATTAGGGTCTTGTCCCTTATGGTAATGAGTCGATTCCAATGTTGCGAGGTCGGTGAATGAAAGCAAAGAGCGAACGGTGGGAGCAAGGGCTTTCTGTTTCGCACTTCAAATACCAAAGGCGCATTTTAATTCATTAAAAAGTGTTTTGGTGATTAAAGTGTATAATTAATTAAAAATTATTTTGGCGTACATATTACCAGACTCTTAAAAAGTATTTTCGCCAAGACGACATAAGATGACGCCAAGACGACAACATAAGCATGTCTAATCCAAAATAACGCAATCAGTGGGAGTGCTGCAAGGAGATCCCATTAGACCCCTGTTATTCAATATAGCAACCTATGATGTGAAGTCTACGTTAATAGAATATATATATATATATATATATATATATATATATATATATATATATATATTAAGAACTTATCAAAGAGAGAACCTCAACAATTATTGCGATGAAAGAAATTTCACACATAGGTACAAATTTCACTCGAAACAGCAGTAAAGTTTTTTAAAATTGAGATCGTTTGGGAGCACCTGGACAAAAGAGGCTTAAAAGAAATAGGGAAAGTGAAATATATTTATCTGAAGAAAGCTATAGAGGTGTCCAAGTTTACTTCTTCACTAGTGTATGAGCTAACAAGGGAGACCTTTTACGTGGAAGAACTGCGATGCCAAATGCTACTACCAAACACACCACACCTCTAACAATTAATAATGAAAATAAGAAAGAAATATGGAACAAAATTACACAACGGTTACAATGACCACAAGAGAATAGATGGGAAGTGGATATGACCAACGACATTTAGTGACAAGGTTTGCGGTGCATGGATTTCAGCAAAAAGTATGTAAAAATTAAAGTTTTCACGAAACAAACAACCCGTGTGTGTGTGTGTGTGTGTGTGTGTGAATGAAGGAATTATGTGATAGGTATCATACCTTACAATGCAGAAAAAGGAACACAAGCTCAGCGCGGAATAAAAAGAACAAATGGAACTGCAGAAACTCGCAGAAGTTCAAAATAACCCCCCCCCCCATTACGTGACAATTTGAATACAATAGTTCATGATACTTGCTGGAAACTATACTTTGGTAGGTTTCTTGGGAAAAGTTTACTCAATCTTGACACAACACAACAAACATCACATTCACTTATACATCATTCTTCTATACTATTTGTTTTGCACTGTGTTCCAGTGTTCTCAGCGCACACGTATCGGCATTGCCGGGTGCAGTGTGCCCCTCTGCAACTTCGGACACTGTCTGGCGCTCATTTTCATACACCCTACTGAGAATGTCAGCATTTACGTTCAATATCCCTTTCCTATGGCTTATGACAATGTTGTAATGCCGAATCGCCAGAGACCACCTAAGCAATCTGGGATTATTCCCAGCATATTGTTGTAACCAGACTAACGGGTTATGATTCGTTTCTATCTTTAACAAAATATTTCCGTCTAAATAGTAACGCAACTTCCCAAAACCCCAAATTAAGGCAGCACACACTTTCTCCGTGGTGCTCCATTTTAATTCCCCGACTGAGAATTTTTTACTGAGAAAGAGAATCGGATTTTCATTCCCCTCCTGATCTAACTGTGATAACACAATGGCTGCTCCCCTAAGTGCCGCATCACATTGCAGTAAAAATGGCTTACTAAAATCAGGTACATGTGTGACTGCCCCCTGACACAGTGCGTCGCGAAGCTGTATAAACGAGTTCTCGCACTCTTCCGACCACCGGATTTTGCCTTGCCTCTGTGTTCCCCTCAATAGATCAGTGAGCGCAGCTTATTTCTCCGAGAAATTTCTGATGATCCGTTTATAATACGATATCAGATCTATAAATTTTCGGATTTCCTTTTTTCTCGTAGGCCGTGGATATTATTTTATTACTTGAACTTTGGCTTCATTTGGTCTCATCAGACCACTGCCAATCTCGTATCCTAAGAACGTAACCGATTTCCTGGAAAAGAGAAGATGATTATTGTTCGGAAGCAAAACAGGGCATTCAGCATTTGCTCAAGGACCTAGGGAAACTGGCAAAACTGTAGTACAGTAGCTGTCAAAGCTGGTCCCTTTCTTGTTGTAACATTCTATACTAATGTTACACTGGGCATCAAGGAGATATGTGCATTGGATAAAAATATGATTTACTGTTTTGAAACATTTATAATTTATTTGAAAAGCATGATGAATATTAGGGTTTGGTCCTTATGGTGATTGAGTCGATTCCAAATGTTGCGAGGTCGGTGGAATGAAAGCAAAGAGCGACGGGTGGGAGCAGGGCTTTCTGTTTCGCACTTCAATACCAAAGGCGCATTTTAATTCATTTAAAAGTGTTGGTGATTAAAGTGTATATTAATTAAAAATTATTTTGGCGTCATATTACCTAGACTCTTAAACAGTATTTTCGCCAAGACGAACATAGACGACGCCAGTTTACGACAACATAAGCTGGTCTAGTCAAAATAAGCAATGTAGTGGGGAGTGCTGCAAGGAGATCATTAGACCACGCTTGTTATTCATATAGCAACTATGATGTGAAGTCTAGCGTTAATAGAAGTGAATTTAATTTAGTATATATTATATAAGTAGATATATATATATCATAATAGCTTTATATATGATAGTTATATATATAGTATATTAGAACTTATAAAAGAGAGAACTCAACAATTATTGCGATGAAAGAAATTTTCACACATAGGTACAAATTTACTCGAAACAAGCATCAAAGTTTTTAAAATTGGCGATCGTTTTGGGAGCCCTGGACAAAAGAGGCTTAAAAGAAATAGGGAATAGTGAATCTGATTTATCTGAAAGAAAGCTTAGTGAGGTGTCAAGTTTACTTCTTCAATAGTGTAGAATGAGCTAACAGGGAGACCTTTTAACGTGGAAGAATCTGGGACTCCCAATGCTACTACAACAACACACTCGAACAATTAATGAAAGAAACTAGAGAAGAGAATATGGAACATAATTACACAACGGTTACAATGACACACAAGAAGAATGATGGGGAAGTGGATATGACCAAGCTATTTAGTGACAAGGTTTGCGGTGCCATGGATTCAGCAAAAAGTATGTAAAAGAATACCAGAAGTCTGTTCACGAAACCAACAAACCCCGTGTGTGTGTGTGTGTGTGTGTGATGAAGGCATTATGTGATAGGTTGTAAGGTCCTCGTATGTGTCAGGTGTACATTGATTGGGTGAGTGCTGGCGATGAACGATGACCGTTCAAACTAGTGCCAGAAAAGAGGACACAGCATGAGCTTCAGCGCGGAATTGAAAAGAACAAAGGAGTGGAACCTCGCAGCACAGCTCGCAGAAGTATGGTGACCATGAGAGATCCCCCCCCAATTACGTGACAATTTGAATACAAAAGTTCATGTACTTGCTGGAAACTATTCTTTCGTAGGTTTCCTTGGGAAAAGTTTACTCAATTCTTGACACCATACCAGTCAACATCAGCATTTCTTATACATATTCGCTTCTATGTGCGTGTAGTTCTGTTTTGGCATATGTGGTGTTCTACGACGTCGTTCTCATTCAGGCGAGAGAGACGCACACGGTATCTCGGCAATTATGAGGCCGGGATGCAGTGTTGCCTTCTCACCGGCGAACTTCGGACACTGTCTGGCGCTCATTTCTCATACACCCTATGAGAATGTCGAGCGATTTAATGTATCGTTAATTTCAGTAATATCGGATCTAGTTGCGTATAGGTGAACAATGTTGTAATGCCGCAATCGCCAAGAGACCACCCTTAAGCAATTGGGATTTTACCGAGCAATTCTGTTGTAACCAGACGTAACGGGTTATGATTCGTTGCCTATCTTTACAAAATTAATTTCCGTCTCATAAAAGCATACCTTATGCCAATTGAAGACGTGAAGATCTTCGAACAATTTCTCCAGTAAGTTGCTAGCCTCTTCGTGGTCCCATATTTAATTCCCGAACTGGAGATTTTTTGTGACTGAGAAAGAGAATCGGATTTTCATTTCCCTCCTGAATGCCTAACTGTGGGATAACACAATGGCTGCTCCTTAAGTGCCGCTCACATTGCAGGAGTAAGTGGCCTCCCTAAATCAGGTGGCATGTGTGACTGCCCCCTTGACCAGTGTGATTCGGCGAAGCTGTATAAACGCGATTCTCGCCTCATTCCGACACGGATTTATGCCTTGCCATCTGTTGTTTCCCGTTCAATAGATCAGTGAGGCGCAGCTTATTTCTCCGAGAAATTTCTGATGAAAGGGGCGTTTTATAATACGATATCAGATTCTATAAAATTTTCGGATTTCTTATTTTTGTCGCTAAGGTCCGTGGATATTATTTTATTCTTGAACTTTGGCTCTTCATTTGTCTCATCAGACCCAGGCATCCTCAGTATCCTAAGAGTAAACCAGATATTCCTGGCGAACTTACATTCGCCGGTGCACGCATATTGGCTCGAGTAATTTTTTGGAATACGATTTCTGGAGATGTTTGCAGTGATCATTCACGCACGTTGTCGCTAAAGATTGCAAATGTCGTCGCCTATAATGGGAACGGCGAATCCGCACACTCTTTCAGTAAATGCCTCCATTAGCTTACTGCAACATATGGTGCGCAATTTTTTATGCCGAAGGCATCCTGAGGGGGTTTATAAGACCGAATTATTGGTGGTAAAGGTGGGCATACCGTTGAGGACTCTCTTCGTGCATTTGGATCTGACAAAATCCTTAATAATGCAAAGTATTTGTGGCTTATGGATTTTGGCCTCGCCACTGTTTCAATTCGCTCGGCTAACCGACAGCGGGAAAATATTCAGTACGAATAACCTGATTTAATCTTGCGGTAGTCAATTACATGGCCGTGGTTTTTTCATGGTGCTTCGCAAAAATCTGGGGGTCGTGAAAAAGTCAGAATCTGAAGGCTCGGATGAAGCTAGCATCCTTGCATTTTGTCGGTTGATTTCATCCTGGAGGGATTTTAGTTTGGTGATGAGACGTGCGATACGGAGCGCTTCTCACCAACTTGCATTTTCGTTCCAGCAACTCAATGTTCATCTGAACGGTTTTTAGATGAGCGCCGGTTTTCTCAGAAAATAGGATGTCTAACTTCAAATTACAAGCTCTCTCGCAGCGCTTTCATTCCTTCGCGGCTCCATTCGTGCCTGCGGAGCATTGCCTCTACATCAATATTCCTCCGAGTTCTCCTTAGGGCGTATTTCTCTAGTTCGTCCTACATAATTACTCTATTTGTTTATGTTGACAATAAAGTGTAACATACTCTGCTGTCCTTTGTTAGGAATGCTTTTGATCATATTGGATCATGAATATACGTTGCCTGTACTTTTGTTGGGCATCTTGAATGACGATTCGTGTCAGACACCTTTCTCTTATCAATCTCTTCCCGGTCCTATCCATTGACACAGAGTATTTACGAACCTTGTTCGAGCAAACGACTAATGACTTTTGTCTCCTACATTAAATGTACGTATCAGCGCCTTTCCCTATCATACCAGGTTTTGTCTTTTACGCTGACAGTGCCGATAAGTTTTTCATGAGCTGAGTCTCTAATTTACTTCAATTCTATTGCAAGACGAAATATAATATCCGTATACTTCGGCTACTTTCGGCTCTTTCACGAGATTTCTAGTAAGGCAACGTAATATATTCTAAATTTCAAGCCGCAATGACTACATCTGCGGGCGGAGATTCTAAATCTTCATAAAACTTGTTCTTTAAAGCGAATCAGTATGGCCGGGAATATTGTTTTCTCCCAGTCAGTTCCAGCTTCAAGAACACGACAACTTTAAAACAGCATCATTTTATTGTTACTATGTACACGGCTCAAACCGGACTTGGGTCCTGCGGATGATAAGACTGAACTATGGGATCAATTTAATTCCAAATTTATTTGCGAATTCTGCACAGCGTGCTTCTGAAGCACGGGCCCTTGAATCCTTTGAATTTCCGCGCGGAAACGGTCTTCATGCTGAACAAACTGCAAAACATGCATCAATTACAGTAGGAGTTGTGAAATCTGGAATAGGGTATCGCTTCGGGGTACCTCGACGCAACACAAATAGCAAGTAGAGTAGTGGACATTTTTCGGCTCACTGCTTCCCTGAACGGGTATCGTTCTATATCAATCGGAAGACCTCTCATTAGGTGGGGACCAACACTAAAGGTGCTTCTTCGATCACACTACTGAATACGCTTGGGCAGGCTGTCGCAGTGAACCGCACAAATTGCTCCATCTCTTTAAACAATTTGGCCATGCAAGAAGTTGCTTAGACAAATTGTTTCTTCGACTTAGCTATTCCTACAATGAGCACTGAACAATTCATGACAAATCGTGTAATATAGCCCCGAAATTTAACTGGACCAGACTAACATTTCCATAAATGTCCGCCTTTTGCTCTTCCGTTTTCTTAAATATATAAGGATATTCCGAACAAATATGTATCTCTTTCCGATTCTGCTTTTAACGTCCTTATACTTTTCAAACAAACTATTTTAACCCGCATCTCCGCTTTTGCGCCGCGCTGAATTTGTTCTGTATTTACTTGTCAAGCATCTAGCGATCGGGCAGCAGCCAATTCTAGTTCTTCTCCGTCTTCTAACAAGACAGATTTTCGGGAATTCTCCGACGCGCTCATGCTCGTCATCGCGCTGGCTTTGCGTGTGAGGTCGCTTCCGCCGTCCCGGCTAATCCTACGTTGCGGGTCCCCCGCATCCTCTGCTTTCGTCCTATCTTTTCCGTGCAGCCTTACTGCGCGTCGTAAACCATGTTTACCGCTTTGTTTCTTCTACTAAGCCCTGTTTAATATCTGCAGATAAGCTTGGATACGTTCTGTTATCCAAAAGA